CCCCAAAACCCCAAAACCCCAAAACCCCAAAACCCCAGATTGCTTTGATTAAGCTAATGAAGCCATTTAATTAATTGAAAAATTGAAAATATCAAACAAGTGAAGATATATTATTGGCTCTCTTATTCTACACTGACAATAATCCATTCTTTTAAGGAATACTGTAGATTACACTACTATTAATACTTCTATCAGGTTATTAGAGTTACCTTATCGGGACTATCTTTAAACTTTTCTTTTCTATAATAGTTATCATTGACTAATTGGTAGTTCTATTTGAGTTTTGGTCTTGTTGTAATTAAGAAGGATTTGCTGCTTTTTTAACTATGTTTAGTTTCAATTTTTATATTTTGCAGTTTGTATTGGCTGAGCTGCTTCTAGGAACAAAATGAATTAGTTAAGGCTTTGAATTATTATTTTAAATCTGCTTTTAACTAATAAATGATTATGAATTATTAGATAATAGCTCTTTCTGTGATGATTGTGTATTCAAAGTGTTAAAATTACTGCTTAAATCTGTAGCATCATTGTAATTATTATTGGTGATAAAGTTTTAATTAGAAAATTCCTACTTTTCAGTAACTTTTTCAATTAATTTTAAATGATTTTATAGCAAATAATTTCCTTTTCTTCTTGGAATCAGATCATTATTACTTAGAGATCTCTCACTTTAGTCAAGATATTCATTCTATGAGCTCTTTTATCTATAATTGAAAGCTGGTGTGGGTATTTGTGATTGATTACAGGAAAATGAAATATTGTCCAAGCATTGCTTATTTTCACCTAATGCTGCCATTACAGCGGTAGATTTAAAACTATCTGGTAGGTCTGAATTTTTATTTTTGCTTATACTATTGATTTTATCATCCTCATGTATTGAAGACATTTTATACTCTTCGTATTCATTTGCACTATCACTTCTCAAGTGCTCTCTGCTGAACTAAGATTCAAGAGTTTGCTATGTACCTTAGAAATTTATTTGACCAGTCTTTGAGTAGGAGGAATCACTTTCTTCTAAAATATTTCCCGTTAACTCTCCATTATTATTGTGCTCATCAATGATATTGAATACTTCTTTGTTAATATTTCTAATATAATTTCTATCTTTCTTTTCAATCGTATATTATTGCTAGTTATCTTTATCTTAAATCATAGAATCATCCTCTTAGTAGTACATGCTTGTTTGATTAATTTGGTGTGTCTTTTGAATATTGCTATTGAACTTAAAATTTGATTTTTTATTGTCTGACCTTAAAAAACTGTTATTATTATCTTCATTAAGAAAAGCACCGGCATCTGTTGCTGTTCTCAATGATATAGATAGAGATTTTACATTCATCAAATCTTCTAATTGAACATCCATAAATTCCTTTTAACAAGACTACTTATTTGGATATTATTTTTCATCAGTTGGTAGAGATGGTAGTGGAGAATGAGTAGTAAATGCATTTGACACATCTAACATTTCTTGAAGTTTAACATCAGTAAATTTATATTTTTTATTCGAAGAGTCTCTCAATCTATTTTAATGTGTCTTATGATTACTTTGAAAATTTGAGTAAATTTTATATGTTTGCTTATTATTCTCTCTTTCATCCGAAGTTTTCTATAAACTGCCTTATTTTTTAGTAGATTTTGACAGAGAATTAGCTTAATAATTGTTATTCTTGGATTTTTCATTCTGCTTTCTATTTTTAGGAGTTGAACATTAATCAATTCTTTTTGGTGATTTTAAAATTGAAGGATCAACTTTATTTTAAAGAGCATAAACTTATCTGAAAAGCTATAAAAAATTCAAAACAATTTTAACTTACGATTCTCTGATCTTAATCTTTGATTTGTAGCAATTTTTCGACAAAGTCTTTCTGATAAAAATTAATTTCTTCTTGATTCAACTACAGTTATTAATATTATTTGATGACTTACATGAACTTTAGTGTCATCAAGAAAAGAATCCCATTCCGGATCCCTTTCTCCAAGAATAAATGCTGGAGCATAAACTGACTCATCTACTTTTTTGTTGCTCTCTCCAAAGTTTTTTTTTAAATTAGTGCTCTATTCAGACTCTTTTTTCACTATATTACTAAGATCTATACTATTCATGACATCAAAGCTCTTTTCTTTATGTTTTTAATGTTTGCTTTTGCTTTTTGAGTTATTTTTTGGAACACTTGCATAGTTTTTAATCATTGCTTATGGTTTATTGCTCTATTTCGGTTCTATAAATGAAGGTCTGCTACTTCTTGGAGTTGTCTTCTCAAGGAATGAATTATTCACCTAGCTATATCCACCTCTTGCAGAAGCTTTTACTTCATTATCTATGCTCTGCATATTTTAATCTTAACCTTAGTTTCTGTTTGTATATATTATGCTATATTTACTTGTTTGTTCAAGCTAATCTATTGATTAAGTTCTCTGATTATAACTATTAGCATTATCTGTATTTAAGTTTTTCAGATTTATTCTGCCACTTTAAGTTATCAGATCATCTTGATTATTTGATATCTCCTGCTCTACAGTTCTCATATAGATTTCTCTTTTTAAACTTAATTTTGCTCTACTTTATTTCATTTCTTGGGCCATGAGTTCAAGCTCGTTTAAATTTTCATTAACTTATTTACTACTTTTCTCGTAGCAAGATTTAATGTCGCCCAGACTTCTCTCATATCTTTTTTAAGTTTTTTAGAATTCCTTTTCTTTCATTTGTATTAATTGAGTGCTTTCATTTTTCAAGGTATTCATTGTTTGTTTTAAAGTCTCGTTTTTATTTTATTGCTATGAAAGCTAAGTGATAAGGATTTCACATACATTTTCGTAGCCTTGATTTATTTAATCTATCTTTTCAAGCTTTTCTAAAATTACTTCTCTAATATAATTGATATTTTTTGTATCGTTTAGATTGAGCAAGTTTTCTTTTATACTAAGCATTGTTTCATAAAAATCGAATTTCAATTATTCTATCTAATCATACTGACTTATTTTCATCTGAGATTGAGTTGCAGTATGCAAGTCTGAATTGTGAGAGATGCTTGTGAAATTTCTATTTGTAAACCCTGTTGAAGAACCTAAATTTCTCGTCTTCTAGAGACTTCTTACAGATTTGAAATGCTTATTATTTATTTAGGGTTTTAGAAACTATTATGAGCTACTTTGTGTTATTGATTTGTTGTCTGATTATTCTTGCATCTATTATTTCTACTTATTGATTAGGCTATAAATCTATGGCCTACTACTGTGAATTTATAAATCATTTTATACCCTAATATTATCATTTTCTTTATCTTCACTTTATTAACTTTGTTGTTCCTTGCAAGATTTCTTCTTGATAAGTTAAATTGAAGCATTACTATTCGAGTTAAACGAATCTGTAATAAGTTTAATCTCCTAAATTTTGTCATTTCTAGAAGACTATGCTTATCTTCTAGAGTAGTGCTATTTTTGTAGATTATTCTTCATTTTTTAGCAATATTTAAATTTAAATCTCAATCAATAATATCAAACAAATTTAACTACTAATAAAATTTAGATATTAAAGTTAACCGCTTGCAATTAAAAGGGATAATACTTATAAATCATCAATACATTGAGTTTTATCTCAATAAAAATGCTGCTTATTTGTGGTTAAAGCTCAGTTTGAAATAGTATTAAGCTGCTAGTCACCACCCTGCCTGGAATATTTAGGTCTCGCTAGTCTAGCATCCATGCTTTTTTGAACTTTTCTAAGTTAATGTTAACCAACGTGATATTTGTAATCATATGTCAATTAACTTTCTAATAAAATGTCTCTTCTTCTATTTCCATAGAAACCGCTTGATTAAGTTGATGCGAATCCTCCTTTATTCGGAGTTTCATTCTCTTCTGTCTCCTAATTCTCCGAAGTCTTAGGCACAATTGTATTGAAATGCTAAAATGTGTTAGTACTTTTTGCTTTATCAAATCCAGCTTGTCTTCCACCTAGCTTTACATAAGGGTAATGATTAGTCGTTCTTGGGTCGTTGTATTATCTCAAACTTTGTTTAAATACATCTTTATAGTTATATAATCTTCCAGTATTGGTAAATCCTCCATTAGTTTATCTATGATTAAAATGACATTAAAATAATGATAGCTTACACAACATATGAGTCCCTACCAGTTCCATCTGATCTATAATAAACATTCATAGGATGCATTATAGGAGCACTTGGAGTGTGATGCCTCTTTGGAACAAATGTTCCAACTTAACCGTATTTATATGGATAAGGTTAATACATCTTGCAAAATCCTCCATTGTCCTTGTTGATATAAGTGTCTCTTCCTGTTCCATTTACTTGGTAATGGACTGTTTAAGTTGCTCTCCCTCTAAATGTTGTTTTTGAAATGTAGTCGTTGTTGATGGACTAAAATGTTTGCTTAGGTTCATAAGACCCATTCTGAAGAATCATTTTATTTTATTTATTATTTTAATAGTAAAATTTAGGATTAATTTTAAGTAAAGGGCGAGAATCAATTAAAGTAATCAATAGATTAGCATATTGATAGCAATAATCATCATTCTTAATATATGTATGTACCTATCCAGTTTCATTCAGATCTTTTAGGCTCATGGTAAATGAAACCAGTACTTGAGATGGTATCACCGAGGCCAGCAGTTTTTATAAGTGTTCTGCATTTTAAGAAGAATTGCATATAGCATGTAATATCATCATTAAGATCAAATTGGTACGTTAGGTTATCTCTTGAAATGGGGATAAGATCTTATTAGTTGTATGGGTTGACAATATATTTTGGTCTCTCAGGGACATCATAATTATCAATATGTTCTTCCTCTAGTTTGTCTGTCATTTTGCAGAATTTTGGAGTAGCCATTGAACTTTTTATAATAGCATCATGAGCATCCTCCCATTTGGAACGATCATAGCACATAAGGAAAGATCCATAGGGATGTAAATGAACTCTTGATAAAGGTAATTGTTGCTCTTTAGCCAAGATAAAGAATTTTCTTAGTTGTTCAAGGATGAATTCAATAGTAGGCTTTGAGTCTCTGGCTTGATTAATATCCTTAAGCTTGTATTGCCAAAGCTCAAGGATAAGAACAAGTTCTTGTTCATTCATTCCAAGTGAGTCAGCTTGTCTAACAACATGCTTATCGAAGAGCTTAAAAAACTCTAAATTACTAAAGTGAGCAAACTCTACATGAATCATATGTCCTGGCTCTGTTTACCTCATTTCATTCCAGAGTTACTCCTACTTTTCTAATCTCTCCTTAACCTCTTGATATTCAAGTTTCTGCATCAACTAGTATCCTCCAAACAAATGCCTTTTTATATGAGGATGATCTTTAACTAATTTATGATAAGTCTCCATTTGTTTAAGTGATGCTCCATTTGGATCATCAACGAAGTAAAATCTATTACTCCTGGGAGCTTTGTAACCTAAAATTTCATCTCCTTCTTTATATTCAAATACAAGATGAATGTCTAGAGGTTCTTCAATATCTCCATGTTGCTATTTAGATTCTGCTTATATACTTTAGTGAGGCCATTGAAGATATTTTTCAGAGTGCTCTGGGGTATAATGAAGAGCTTTATGATTAAAATCTGATGCCTGAGCAGCAATGAATGCTTTGCAGTTTTCTCTTTAAGCTCTAATAGCCCAAACTGAAGAGTGACCACCTATTTCAGGATTATACTTGATCGGGTTATCAGTTTAAATATTTTCCAACAGATACTTGAAAAGCTCACTCGAATCCTAAAGGTATAAGTTAGGAATTTATTGGATTTTTATGAGTAACTTACAGTACTTCGTTCAGCATTAGCACCTTTTGAGAAATAATACAGGAAAGTCTCAATGAAAGATCTTAAACTGAAAATCTATTCATGAACTTTTGGAGTGATTTCGCCATTAATACTTAACTCTTCAAGATCAACTTTAAGTTTGTTTATTAATTCTACTGCACTGAAACCAATATCCATGCATGTTGTGTAACCAACTCCAATAGCACAATCTTCAGTTGATTTAATAGAATGCTCCTTCTCCCCATATTTTCTAATCAACTCAGTCTCTTCATATTCTGACAAAAGTATCTTATCATTATAATCATGATAAAAGCCTTTATGATGAGCGTTTTCATTCTAATGTTATTATTGACTGTGCTAAGTTTGTGAAGTAAGGTTGTAATTTTTTTGAGCTTCGTTAATATATATTTAATATCCTATATATGCAATGATTACAAAACTCAAAGTTTTCAAGATATCTATCGCCATTTAATCTAATTTTAATAATCTATAACTATTCTATTATTGAATTCCTTGGGGTTTTGGGGTTTTGGGGTTTTGGGGTTTTGGGG